AAAAAAAAAAAAAAAGATGCAACATGTCTATAATCCCAGCACTTTGGGAAGCTGAGGCAAGAGGACTGTCTGAAACCACAGATTCAAGATCAGCCTGGACAAGTTAGTGAGACTTCGTCTCTACAATTAAAAAAAACAAAAATCAGCTGGGCATGGTGGTACGTGCCTTAGTTCCAGCTACTTGGAAGGCTGAGGTGGAAGAATTGCCTGAGCCCAGCAGGTTGAGGCTGCGGTGGCCACGAGCATGCCACTGCACTCCAGCCTGGGCAACAGAGTGAGACTCTGACTCAAGAAAAAAAGAAGAAGAAGGAAAAAAAGATGCTGCAACAATTCAAACAAGAGATGATAGTGGCTTCAACTAGGGTGGTGGAAATTGAAGTAGTAAAAAAAGGTCAGATTCAGGATGTATTCTGAAAGTGGAAGTGAAAGGATGTGCTGACATGAGATGTGACGTGTATTTAAAATAAAAAAAAATTTTAAAAAAGAGATGTGAGGTGTGAAAAATAAGCATACCAAATCCTTGAACTGGTAACTCTAAGTATGAAATGTCATTACTGAGCTAGAGAAGACTGCAGAATGAGGTTTTCAAAAGAATATTAGATACTTAGTTTTAGGTATATGAAGTTATTTGAATGGAGAACTCACAAGAATTCTTAATATTCAGGAATATATTAATATATTAAACTGCCTTATAATAATTGAAAAACAGTCCATTTAAACCGTAGTAGTTTTAAAAAGTAAGTACATTTGCCAAACTGGCCAAACAAAATCCTCTGGCTACACGGGACAGAGAATAAACATAAAAATAGCAATTCAAAGGATTAAGAATGTAGAATCTTCCTTTAGACAGAAAATATTTCATATATTTTAATATTTAAAGAATTATCCTAAAGAAAATCGTTAATAAAGCAATTAAAGCAAGGACTTCAAGGAGGTATGAGTATTGCTGCTGCTGTGGTCCTACAGAACCCTATTCCCCACCCAGCTGACACACCCTGTACCACTGCCAGCCTGGCCACTGGACGTGCTTATATCCTGTGACCCATGCTACTTACTGCACTGATGCTCACACCTCAACTGCATACCCTGCTGCACAAATAGACTGCCTAATGCTCTTGGCACAGTGCAGCAGCCACAGCTATGACAAGGTCTTCTTTCCTCTGTGCCCTGAATGATACCACTGCCTACCTGCCCAAACATGGCTGAGGGAGCTGGTAGGCGGCCAGTGGCCATTTCTAACAGAGGCAACTGAAATTTTCCTATCAAAAAATGTGAAAAATGTGAACGATAATCCTATAACTCAATGAAATAGCAAGAGTTGAAAACTTTGTCTCTCTCTTTAATTTACACAAATTTTGTCCAGAAAGTATATTAAAAGGAAGGAATAAACGGGTATCATATTATTAACTGCTGTTGGGCTCTCCAGCTTTTTTTTTTTTTTTTTTGAAAGCAGCATTTATTGAGAGGACAGGAAAGTTCCCATAGTGGGAGGGGACCCGAAGGCGTTTCCTTGGGCTCTCCAGCTTTTACCAGGAAATGAACTATGTATTTGGAAGACCCAGACTTTTTTTTAGAAAATTATTTAGCCACTGATGGGAAAAAGGCTGAAGAAATCATGTCAAATGAAGGTAAGAAATGGCAGACTAGTGATGCAAAACTAATGTCTTTATTAAAATTCTGGTAAAAAAATGCTAGAATGTGACAGCTGGAAAAGACATCAGTGAACATTGTCATTTTGAGCAACTTAAGAAAAATAGATATGGAAGACAAAGAATTAGAGAACAATATAAAGATTTTTTACTATTTCTAAGAAAAATTCCAGAATAAATGGGAAACAGTATCTAGAAAATAGACTTCTTGAGCTGAAGAAAAACCCAAAACTTCAGAGGGAAAGGAGCTACCATGATAAGAGCAAAAGTAACAGAAAGTGTGAATAACTAGATGTGAACTAGTTAAATTGTAAATCCTTTAAAAATAAAGGATATCACAGAATTTTCAGGATGAAAAAGATAAATTTCCACAACGTCAGGTTTTTTATGAGTGTCACAGAGTAACAGGATATGATGGGGTAGTGTTTGTAATACATTGAGGGGTAAAGTCTATTTATGACTCAAAATTCTGAATTAAGTCACGCATGAAAGCAACAGAAATAATTCTCACTTATTAGCGCCTCCGAAAAATTCTATTCTCTCTTTAAAAAAATTACTGAGAGACAATACTATAGATTTAATCAAAATAAAATCTTTTTTTTGTTTTTGTTTTATTTTTTGAGTTGGAGTCTCGCTCTGTCGCCCAGACTGGAGTGCAGTGGCCTCTCCTGGTCACCGCAGCCTCGACCTGCTGGGCTCCAGCGATCCTTCTGCCTCAGCCTTCCAAGTAGCTGGAATTACAGGCATGCACTACCACGCCCGGCTGATTTTTTGATTTATTGTAGAGATGAGGTCTCGCTGCCCAGGTGGGTCTTGATGTTTTTGGTTTTTTTTTTTTTTGAGTCAGAGTCCTCTTTTGTCTTTCGCTAAGGCTGGATGGAGTGCAATGGCATGCTCATGGCCATCAAAGCCTTGATCTGCTGGGCTCAGGTGATCCTTCTGCCTCAGTCTTCAAGTAGCTGGAACTACACACGTGTGCCACTACGCCTGGCTAATTTATTTATTATAGAGACAAAAAGTCTTACCAAGTTGCCCAAGCTGGTCTTGAACCCGTGGGCTCAGGCAATCCTCTTGCCTCAGACTCCCAAAGTGCTGAATTACAGCACCCAGCTAAAATAAAATCTTTTAAAGTGAAGTACATGGTATAGAAGTCCTGATGATGAGTACAAAAATTAATTAAATGTAGAAAGCAAGCCTGAATTATTATTGTAAATATGCCTGGAAAACACTGCAAAAGTTAATTCAAATTTTTATCTATTTCATAAAAAAATTTTGAGTAAAAACAATTTGGTTCAACCAAATAAACAATTAATAAAGGGCATTTATTTTCACTGGAAAAACAAAAACAAAAATAAATATTCCTAAACAACTTGCTATTCCATGCAGCAATGAAACGAATGGGTAAACAAACAGACAAACAAAATTAACTGTTTAGTCAGTACTAAAGTATGCAGCAAAGTATTTAGGTTCTCCTTCGTGCTCATCCTACTAAGAAAAGTAAATACTCTGAATCTGTCAAAAAATTCCTGCACTGATAAAAGGACGTCAGCAAATCTCAGAGTATAAAATAAATGTGCAAAAGACAGTTGCATTCCTGTATACCAACAATAAACAAACAAAAACCCAAGTAAAAAGCAAAATCCCATTAACAATAACCACACACACAAAAATGAAATACCTTGGCGTCTTCCTAACCAGAGAAGTGAAAAGAACTTTACAACGAAAACTACAAAACACTGCTTAAAGAAATCAAAGATGACACAAACAAATGGAAAAATATTCATGCTCATGAATTGGACGAATCAACATTGTTAAGATGCCCATCCCACCCAAGGCAATCTACAGATTTAACGTAATGCCCATTAAATTATCAGTAGCATTCTTCTCCACACCTGGAAACGACAATACAGGAAACATAAATGACCACAAACAGCCAAAACAATCCTCAGCAGAAAAAAAAAAAAGCGGGAGGTATCACACTCCTAGACTTTAAACTTTATTATAAAGCAACAATACTCAAAACAGCCTGGTATTGGTACAAGAACAGGCTAATAGACCAATGGAACAGGATAGAAATTCCAGAAGCAAAGCCTCAATTTCTCAAGCTCATCTTTGACGAAGCCTCCACCACCAACCACTGGGGAGAGGATAGCCTATTCACAACATTTAGTGTATTGTAGGAAAGTTTCAATTGCTTTCCATAAAGAATTAAAAGGAGAAAAAAGTTTTCTTAGAGATTACTTACGCTTTACAAATGATGGAGTGCTGAACTTCAAACTCCAAGTTAGTAATAACAGGGCAAGTATATACTCTGGTAGCTGAAATATCTGGTGAGTTTTCTTCTCCAGGAACAGGCTCAGTCTTCCAAGTTTTATTTAATTTTTCCATATCTTCCTTCAGCTGATCTAAGCACTGACTTAAAAACTCATGAGCATCCTAAGAAGACAATAATATCCTTAATCTGATCAAAACATTTCTTGTCACAATAATAGCTTATTAAGATTGTGATTTATGTAACTAAAACACTTAGAAGTCAATGACATACGTAAAGAATGGGTAAGGTTTACTATTATTATTATTATTATTATTATTACTATTGAGTTAGAGTCTCACTCTGTCACCCAGGGTGGAGTGCAGTGGAATAATCATGGCTCATCCCAACCTTGACCTCCTGGGCTTGGGTGATCCTTCCGCCTCAGTCTCCTGAGTAGATGGGACTACAGACATGCACCACCATACCCAGCTAATGTTTTGATTTTTTTTGTAGAGACACGGTCTCGCCATGCTGCCCAGACTGGTGTTGAACTCCTGGACTCAAGCAATCCTCCCACCTCAGTCTCCAAAGTGCTGGGATTATAGGCGTGAGTCACTATGCCTGGTCCAGGTTTATTGCAATAAGAATTTGAGGGTGCATATTTTGTGAATAAAAATAAATGACAGGTATTATGTTCTTAAATATTAGTTGTATTAGCGTAAATGACTCCTTGTTTTGCTTTAAAAAAAATACTTTTTCTAAAATAGGCTTTGTAGTTAACAGAACCCAAGTTCCTACACAGGCAAACCACATCTACATACTAAAATGATACAATACACAGAAGAATTACACTGAACCTTACCATAACTCCTCAGGTTTTTCAGCTTACAATAACACACATACACAAATCCCATTTTAAAATAAAAACCAGGCAACATACTAAAGTCATTTCTAGTTACCCATCTCTAAAATATTTTAAAAATTAGTACTCACATTCTGCATATAACCAGAGAATCTCTCTGCTGTAGCTGAAATGGCATTTTTAACCTTCTTGAGTAAATCTTTTTTGGTCTCTGAATTACAGACATCTTTTTTAACAAGCAAGTGTGCAAATCGTCTGGTAAAACAAAAGGACGAGGTTAGCCTGTTTTACAAAACATTAAATGGCAATGTATTTTAAAGGTCAATTACTAATAATGGCACATACAATTGTAAGTGTCTGAAATCCAATTATTCTATAATTACTGAGGTAAAAGGCTACTCAGTAAGCACATAACAATTACCTGATAAGTGCATTAAGCGGAATTTTCTTCCATGGGATACCTTGCTTAAGCAAGTCGTTTGCAAATGACTGGATTGAAAATAGAGATTGTAAAATAGCATTCATATAGCAGGTATTTCCTAAATTGGAGAAGCTGAAAATGAAAGAAATAGTGCTTTAGAAGGCAACAGTAATTCCTGAAGTATGTCGAGTATAATAGGGGTTCTCCACTTTAGCATCTATCAGAATCACCTGGACCCCAACCCCAGAGTTTCTGATTCAGTAGGGCTGGACAGAGAGGGCACAAAAATATGCATTTCTAACAAGTTACCATATGATGATGATGTTGCTGGTCTGGAGACTATACTTTAAGAACCACTGCATTACAACATTTTAACAACTTAGTTTGATTTGGTGGAAAAGTACACATTTTCAAATGAATGCTAAGCATGACTGGGGAATTCCCAAAGCATCATTCATTGTTACCTATAATTTTAATTTTTTGAGATATAACCTACTTATTTCTCTGAAGTTTATGCTCATAAAAGGAACTACTGGGTCAAAGAATATATGTGTTAAGCTTTAATAGGTACTGCCAAACATATTTGCAAAGCACATTTTTTTTTTTGCTTGTTTGTTTTTTGGTTTTTTTTTTTGAGTTGGAGTCTCACTCTGTCGCCCAGACTGGAGTGCAGTGGCCGCTCCCGGCCATGGCAGCCTCGCCTGCTGGGCTCCGGCGATCCTTCCGCCTCAGCCTTCCAAGTAGCTGGAACTACAGGCGTGCGCTACCACGCCCAGCTAATTTTTGATTTATTGTAGAGATGAGGTCTTGCCAAGTTGCCAGGCGGGTCTCGAACCCGCAGGCTCAGGCAATCCACTCACCTCAGCCTCCCAAAGGCACGGGATTACATGCTGAGCCACTGAGCCTGGTGCAAAGCACATATTTTTAAAAACTTTTTTTTTTTTTTTTGAGTTAGAGTGCAGTGGCCGCTCCTGGCCACCGTAGCCTCGACCTGCTGGGCTCCGGTGATCCTTCCGCCTTAACCTTCCAAGTAGCTGGAACTACAGGTGTGCGCTACCATGCCTGGCTAATTTTTTGATTTATTGTAGAGATGAGGTCTCACCAAGTTGCCCAGGCAGGTCTCGAACCCGTGGGCTCAGGCAATCCACTCACCTCGGCCTCCCAAAGCACAAGATTACAGGTTGAGCCACCAAGCCCGGCTCACAATATTCTTATCTAATATATGTCCCTTCATTTAATTTTGTCAGTTGACACAGATATTTTTTTCCCCCAAAAGTACAAGATTCAGTCCAGGATCACATAATGTTTACAAATCTCTTAAAAAAAAATCTTTCTTTCTTCTTTTTTTTTTTAACAGATGGGGTCTCACTATATATCCCAGGCTGGTCTCAAATTCCTGGGTTCAAGCAATCCTCCCACCTTGGCCTCCCAAAGTACTGGGATTACATCATGAATCACCACTCTCAGATTCTCCTTAGTTTCCTTTAGTCTGGATTAATTCCTCGGCTTCCTCTTTTATGACACTGACATTTTTGAAGTATGCAGTCCTCCCACCCCTGGTTTTTGATGGAATGGTCTTCATATTGGATTTACTATTTCCTCATGATAAGATTCAGCTCAGGCTGAAAGAGTATATAGTGATACTGTGTCCTTTGAAAGGCATCACATCCAGAAATACGTGATATTCCTATACAGGGGTGATGTCAATTTTGAGTACTGGGAGAAATATTGCTTCTAAACGGAGGAAATAGCAGGGTCTGGAATGAACCTCTTACCATAAACAATGAGAATACTGGACAAAATATAGAAAATAACTATTTTCAGATGCTGGACAACAGGCCACATCAAACTGTGATCCGTAAAAGAAAGAAAATAAATGATGCGAGCCCTACCATTGCCCAAGTTTCCTGTCTGGAGGCAATTTATGAACTGCAGTGAACATAGCCCAGAAAACATGCTGAATTGAGCTAAGAGAAACTTGAGAGGAAGAAGCTGTACAAAGGAAGAGCTCCAAAATCTGCACAGAAATATGCTTGAATATTTGGCTGAATACTAACCTGTTCAAGCATAAGATGAAATCCAGTTCTTGCCACCAATCAAGAAGAACTTCAAGGAAAAGAATGTTTACTGGGGAATTATTAGTCAAACAATTCCCAGAGTTCATGCAAGGCCTAAAATTGTTTGAATTTCCACCAGTCAGAGTGGAGAGACCTAGATGAATTCATGAAGTAGTAAGAGACCCCAAAAGGCCATGCTTTAGGAAAGGAAGCAAATTAGCCTTAGAGTAATAATACTCTAGATTCAACCCAAAAGAGCTTAAATACATCACATGTTGAGATAGGAAAATAAAGAGCTTAAACACAAATCTCAAAACAAATCCACGGCAGACAAAGATGTTCAAACAACTATTAAAAATGTTTCATATATTCAAGAATGCAAAGGAAAGTATGAACATAACAAGGAGAGAACTGAAAGCTATAAAAGAATACCAAAATTAAACTTCTAGAGATGAAAAACAATATTTAAAATGAAAATTTCACTGGATGGGAATAATGGTATATTAGATGTTGCAGAAGGAAATATTACTGAACTTGTAAACACAGCAACAGAATAGCTCACCACTGACCTGAAGGACAATATCAAATGCCCTATCATATATAATTGGAATCCAGAGGAGGGAAGGATAAAAAGAAAATGTGAAAAATCAATACCTAAAAGCATTCAAAATCTGATAAAAACTAGAGGTCCACAAATCCAAGAAACTCAACAAATCCCAAGTCAGATAAACACAAATAAAAATAAAGCAAATCATAATAAAATTGCTGTAAATCAGCAATAAAGAGAAAATCTTTTTAAAAAAGCAGTCAAAGAAAAATTGCCTCAGAGTTTTCAGGCAAAAAAATGAAACAGTTTGCAAGGGCAGAAGAATCAGATTGGTACAAGTCTTTGAAAGGCAAATACAACGCAAGGTAATGCTACAGCAACATATTAAGAAGCCTGAGGAAAGAAAGCATGACCCAAGGATTTTATATCCAGTCAAATTATCATTCAAGTAGCCAAGCTAGAGAAAAAGTTTTCAATGTGCAAGAAAGAACTAAGGAAACAAAGTACATAATTGTAGAGCTAAGACTAAAACAAGACTAAGACCAAGGTTTCTACCCGAAACTATGTAAACTAGAAGACAATGGAAAGATATCTTTAAAATACTGAAAGAAACACACAATCAAGCTAGACTGCTATACAAGCTAAATTTCTATATCCAGTGGGAATATCTTTCAAAATTAAAAGCAAAAGACTTTTTCTGACCAAATCTGAGAATATTTGTTGCTAAGAGATACACACTATTAGAAATGTTAAAGGATGTTCTTCACATAGAAGGAAAATAACCAGACGGAAACTCAAATCTACACAAAGGAATGAAGAGTACTTAAAATGGTAAATATGTGGGGAAATAGAAAATACATTTCTCTTTCATCTTTTAATTTATTTAAATACTGCTTGACTGCTTAAAGTAAAAGCAGCCAGCTTACACCTATAATCCCAGCACTTTGGGAGGTAGAGGCCAGAGGACTGCCTGAGCCCAGGGGTTCAGCCTAGGCAATTTGGCGAGACCTTGTTTCCACAATAAATCGAAAAAATAGCCAGATGTAGTGGCATGTGCCTGCAGTTCCAGCTAACTGGAAGGCTGAGGCAAAAGGACTGCCTGAGCCCAGCAGGCTGAGGCTGCAGAAGCCATGAACATGCCACTGTACTCCAGCCTGCGTGACAGAGTGAGACTCTGACTCAAAAATAAACAAACAAATACATAAAGTGCAAGCAACGATACTGAATAATACACTTTAAGTAGGTAACTACATGGTGTGTGAATAATATTTCAACAAGGCTGCTAAAAACCATAAAAATGTATTGTAGACTTTATAGCATACACGGAAATAAAATGCACCTCATCAACAAGAGCACATGCATAATGAACATTTGTATACCTAATCCTGAATTGTACCCCACATCTTTAAAAAAAAAGAAGTAAAATGTATGATAACAACAAAAAAGATGTAAAGGGGAGGGGAAGGCATGTCAATATGGAGATTAAATGAACACAAAGGAAAGAAAATAGAAAAAAGAAACAAAGGACAGATAGAAGAAATAGAAAACAAATAGCAAGATAATAGATTTAATTGCAGTCTTGTCCGTAATTGTAAAAAACACAAATGGTTTAAATACTTCAACTATCAATTTAGACTAGATGCTCTAATAATAAAAATCTGGAGTGACTTAATATAAAACACAGTAGACTTAAAAAAAAAAACATTATCAGGGATGAAAAGGGGCAGTTCATAACAGAGGTCAACCCATTAAGAAGATTTATAACCCTAAATATATATGCACCAATACCAAAGCTATAACATACATAAAGTAAATTGACAGAACTGGAAGAGAAATGTATAAATTTCTGCCCTAATATACATGTTTCTGGCCTGAGAGTTTCTATATTGGGTATTAGGACTGCAGTCCCTGCTTTCTAATTATTTCTATTAACCAGTTAAATATCTCTCTTTCCCTTTATTATAAAACTTTTTGAATTATTATTCTAGGTTTATCTCTAGTACGCACCTAGAGTTGAATTTTGCTTTATGAGAAACCCTGAAAACATTTGTCTTTTAGTAGATTAGTTCAGCCCATGTACATTTATTGATGTAACCTGTAAGTTTGGTCTTAACTGTCATGCTATGTTATAATTTTTATTTCTCTATCTGGTATATCTTTTAGAGATATTTCTTTTAGTCTTAAGAAGGCCTGTAATTTTTGTTTTAATAGTTACATTTGTATTTAGATATACTGCTATTCATTGTTTTCCTTCAACTTTTTTATCATCTGGTCTGTTCATTTTAAATGGCATCCTTTGATGCACACCTAGTATTTATGAAAGTCAACTACATTATTCTACTTTCTCCTGTCTTCTCCCATTTTCTTACAGCTGTAATCTTACTACTTTATTAGAAGACATAATGTTTATATACCATTCTTCTATATATATTTCTACCATTGTCTGCCTTAGCTCTATAATTGAACATATGAAATGTTCACCATCATTTAGAGTCTATCATACTCAGTGATCTATCACAGAAACAAAGAATTGAATACCTCATATTCTTGTTCATAAGTGGATCCTGAACGTTTATCAAAATACTACAAGAGAGAACAGCAGTAGTGAGAAACACTGCCAGGGAAGGGGGGAGAGAACATATATAACATCACTTAGGGTACCTCAACCAGGGTAAGTAAGGACCAGTGGGAGGCCCAAATTTCACTTGCAGGTAGACCACTTATGTACCTAATCCTGGCTTGTTCCCCACATCTTTAAAAACAAAACCAAAAACATAACAGCGAAAAAAAAGAAATGTTCACCATCTACCCTTTGTCACTGCTACTCCAGTCACTCTTGTATGGATGAAGCTTTGCAGAGTCCTCAGAAATGTATACAGTATTCTGAGTTCTTACACTTCCATACTTTTTTCTCTGGTCTGTATATTTGGCATACCATTTTTTGTTTTTCTCTGGTCTGTATATTTGGCATAACATTTTTGTTTTATTCTTTCTTTCATCAAGCTTCTTGAAAATGATTTTGTTATCCTGCTTTGCATAATGGTTTTGAGAAGCCAGTCTATTTCTCTTGCCCTTGTAAATGATTTCATTTTTTGGATCAAGGAACTGACGATTTTTTATCTTTAAAGTCTAATACTTACATGAAGTCTTGACCATTCTAGGTTAGTTTTCTAAGTACCTGGTAAGTTCTTTCAATATATAGATTCAAGACTTATTTCTGAGAATTTTTTTGGATTATAGTTTTCAACACTAATTGTCTCAATGTTCTGATGTTTTTCAGGGACTCTAATTACATGTAATACAGGAATTCTTTGCCTTTTTTCCAGTTCAACTACTTTCTCTCAGTTTTTTACATTTCTCATTTTTTTCATGGTTGTTTTTCTGCTTTCGTTCAAAGCCTGTCATAAATTTACACTTGAAGTTGGGCTCGGTGGCTCAGCCCGTAATCCCGCGATTTGGGAGGCTGAGGTGAGTGGATTTGCCTGAGCCCATGGGTTCGAGACCCGCATGGCAACTTGGCGAGACCTCATCTCTACAAGAAATCAAAAATTAGCTGGGTGTGGTAGCACGTGCCTGTAGTTCCGGCTACTTGGAAGGCTGAGGCAGAAGGCTCGCTAGAGCCCAGCAGGTCGAGGCTGTAGTGGCCAGGAGCGTGCCACTACACCCCCCAGTCTGGGTGACAGAGTGAGATTCCAACTCAAAAAAAAAAAAAAAAAATTTTTTTTTCACTTGAATTTCTTTTCCCTTGGACACCTTTAATTTACACTTCAGTTTTGATATGTTGTCTTTCTTCTTTTCCATCTTTTCTAATTCAAGTATTTGTCATTTCATTTTTTTCTTGCTTGTCTATTTTGATTTTTAGTTTGAATTCTTGATTCATGGTGCTTTTTCCATATTGCCATATGTTTTAGGATAGTTAATTCTATTTTGTATCTACATCATGGTTGGTTCTGGAGGGTAGAATTTTCATTGGCTAAAATGTTTTGATTCATGTTTGCTTTTTTCTTATAGTCGTTTTTGTATAGAAATGTACTACTTCTTTATATTCCTATTCATTTTGAGGATAGGGCCTAATTGAAGCACTTCCCTTTTTGCTACCCTCTTCTGTTAGTTTGGTAAAGTCATTTCATTAATGGATGATGGCAGTGGCAAAGGAGGGAGAGAAAGAAGGATTGGCATATCTTGTTTCCTTTTCATTTTGGCACAATCCTTAATTTTCTTCTTTTGTTTCTAAATCCATAACCAGACTTGGTTGATTCTTCCCTACAAGTAATGATTCTTTGAAGTTGTTACTTCTGGTACCACTCACTTTTAAGCCCATTTCCTATTCAGTATTTTGGGACTCAGTATTTGGATTTTCTCTTTCTGGGAGTGATTTTTTTCAGTGCTTCATTTAAGTCTTCCACTCCTACATTTTTTTTTTTTCATGAAGTCTCTTAAGTTTTCTGTCCCTGAGTTAAGTAGGCTTAAGCAGTCACTGTATTTTGTCTCCTAATAATGCTGAAGCATAGGCTACATGTGCTTTTCTTCGTACTCCTCATTAATTTTATGTGTTTTGGAGGATCTGTCAGGAACATCAGAATACCAGGTAGCCTCCATTATCCTCTAGACCTGGTAGTTTTCTATTCAGTTTTTTTTTTAAGGAGTCTTTGGTCCTGAGTACTTACACTACTTGAAATAATATAATTCCTGAAGAAGTCTGAAAAAAGGAAAGACGTATTTCTAGAGATGGGTACAGGCATTATACAGAAATGAAAGAAACATGGGAGGAGCCTGGAGCACCAAGAGTGGGCAACTCACAAGGCTGTCAAGAGTCTGAAGGGGGTGAATGACAGAGATGAGAAGTAAAATATAAAATACACAAAAGTAAGAAATAAGAAAATGAAACAAGATCAAGGTAGACAGAGACAAGACTCAAATGAAGAATGGTCACAAAATGGGATCAAAAAATTAGCTGGGTGTAGTGGCGCGTGCCTGTAGTTCCAGTTACTTGGAAGGCTGAGGTGAAAAGACTGCCTGAGCCCAGCAGGTAGAGGCTGCAGTGGCTGTGAGCATATCACTGCACTCCAGCTTGGGTGACAGAATGAGACTCCAACTTAAAAAAAAGAATGTTCATTCTAGCTTGCATTGTAACTGTAAAAAAAGGAAATTAAATGTGCACTAACATAGTTGAAAGTTCTGTATTATTTATATAAGAATGTCCATGACTAATATGCAGTGAAAAAGTCAGATAACAGAGAAGCGAAATAGCACAGTGGTTAAAAACACATCTGGAGTCCAACTGCCTGGACTTTCTACTGCTGTACCACTGGGTATATCACTTTGAGCAAGTTAATTAACTTTGCTAAACCTTAGTTACCTTATACATAAAAGAAGATTTTTAACCCTTTGCACTCAGATGTTCCCTCTGAGGGGACATCGTAAATCTAGTAATTTAAATTTAAACCACACTCTAAGGTGTAAAACTACTCGTATGTCTTCTCTGAAAGGACATAAAGAGATTGCTGGTGACTATACAGGACAAACTTATGCCAATGCAAATTTCTGAAAAATGTATGTCTCCTTGAAGTTTTTCATTTAAATTGCAAGAAAAAGCAAATACAGAGATGGAATATATACTGAAATATACGTAAAGAAAAATCAGCTGGCGTTACAAAGAAAGAAAATGTGTGAAGTGCTTTCACAGTGGTGTCAGGCTGGACAATAAATTACATATTAATAATGTGGGAGAAAGAAAACAAGACTGCACTGTCTACTTGAATAGAAAAACACTGGGTGAAAAACATCAAATTTCTATTGTACAACATGTATCAATGAACCTTCAATGCATGTCGGTGACTGTTTCACATGTTACTACATGTTCAGAGAAATATAAGACATAAAACTTTGATTATTTTGGTCATAAGAAAGTTCCTCAATGTCCAAAATTCCACTCTAAGTCAAATATCAGTACAATAAGACAATTGGTTCCAACGCTATACTATTTAATATGAAGTGATTTGTTTTTCACTATTTCTTAAAAGTGTTGTTGACATCTTGTGGGTAGGTGATCCACAAGATGTCTCTGAGGTGCAAAGGGCTAATATATCAATTTCACAGACTTGTAAGACTTTAAAGAAAAAAAATCAATTTAAACACTGAGCACACAGTCTGTGGCACATAACAAATACATTAGTTAAGACAGATACTTTTGTTATTACTACAGTTACTACACTATGATCTCATTTTTGTGTTTAATAAAAATATAATCATGAAGGACTGGGAAGATATATAAAAAAACTTAAAGTTGAAAGTATCTCAGCAGTATAATGAAGTGTATGAGGTTGGAAAATAAAAATTTTCTGCTTTAAAATGAATTATATATCTTAAAGTTCAAAAACTGGAGACTAGACAATGGACTTAACATTACTGATGGATGTAATAAACTTTTAATAAGTGATCTGATTTCTAAATATTTTAGAACTTCAGTTAATGTGACTCCTTTAATCATTTTTTTATACCAAACAAAGCATGCTTCTGCTGGATCAATTTATGAAAAGAAAGCAAAATAAAAGATAATTGACCTACCCTTGTAGTTGTTGCTGGTGAGAGGAAAGGGGCACTCTTGGTTTATTCCAGCCAGTGTAATCCTGGTTACACCTCAGTTTTTTAACAGAAAGTGGAGTAGGCTGAGGAAGAAACCCCAAACTTCTTTTGGCAGAGGAAGTCTGGCTTGATACATTAGTCCTATAAAAAAGAAAAAATAATAAAGAAGCAAAACAAAATTTTGAATGCTCCCTTTTTCTTCTATTAGATTCAGAGAAGTCAATGTCTGGGGGGGGAATCATGAATTTAGGGATATATCAGTGATAACGATCATTTGGGGGTAAACCTCACAAACGTAAATTAGCTAGTCTACTGACAGAGTTGAAGAGGTTTCAAACACTGCACATATTTAACCTACAATCAAAATAATACAAGTTAATGGCTTGAGAAAGACTATAGAGATAGTTTAATTTTTTTATTCATTTTTATACACTTTGTGGATATTAGTTTGCCTACTCTTTTTTTTTTATTATGAAGTTGTGGGGTACAGTTAAGGGTTAGGTATACAATTGCGTTTCATTCAGGCACCCTGTTGATATGGGGTGTTTCCCCGTTCCCAGACAGATATTTGCTACTGTTAATCCCATCTCCCTCCCCGCAGTTTGCCTACTCTTGAACATGTTTATTGTAACTTTTTCCACTATTACAAATAACACAACAAATAATCTTCTTGAGACATTCTTCTAGTTTATATAATTAGAAGTGGAAATGTTAGGGGTATTGTTTTTTTAATTTTTTTGAGTTGGGACTCAGCATGTTTATGGCTCACAGCAGTCTCAACCTCCTGGGCTCAGGTGATCCTTCAGGTAGCTGAGACTACAGGTGTGGTCCATGATCCCCACCTAATTTTGCTATGTTTTGTAGACACAGGGTCTTCACTATGTTGCCTAGGCTGGTCTTGAACTTCTGGGCTCAAGCAATCCTCCTGCCTTGAACTCTTAAAATGCTGGGATTACAGGTATGAGCCACCTTGCCTCGGTATTTTCCATTTTAACCCTTTAACTTGAAAGTCCCCTCTGCGGGGACATCTTAGATCTAGCAAACCACTCAAATGTCCCCTCAGGGGACACAAAGATATTGCTGATTATACAGGACAAACTTATGTAACCACAAATTTTTCAAAATGTATGTTTCCTTGAAGGTTTTCATTCAAACTGCCTGAAAAAGCAAATGAAGAGATGGAATATGTAGTGAGATATGATCAAACAGTCGAGAAGTGGTTTTCTGGAATCATGAATGCATCCTTCCACATCTTCTTCAAACAGACTGGACAATTAATTACATTTTTTTTTTTTTTTGAGTTGGAGTATCACTCTTGTCACCCAAGCTAGAGTGCAGTGGCACGCTCATGGCCACTGCAGCCTCAATCTACTGGGTTTAGGTGATTCTTCTGCCTGAGACTTCCAAATAGCTGGAACCACAGGTGCATGCCATGATGCTTGGCTAATTTTTTGATTTACTGTAGAGATATGGTCTCACCAAGTTGTCCAGGCTGGTCTCAAACCCCTGGGCTCAGGCAATCCTCTAGCTTCTGCCTCCCAAAGCACAAGGAATACAGATGTGAATCACTGTGTCTGACTTAAATTACATATTATTAATGTGGGAAGAAGAAAACAAGAATGCATTGTCTGCTAGAATAGAAAAACACCAAGTGAAAGATGTCAAACAAATTACCATTGTACAACATGTATCAATGAACCTGTAATGCATGTCAGTGACTGTTTCACACATTACCACAAGTTCAGAAAAATATAATAAACTTTTGTTTTTTTGTCATAAATAAGCTCCTCGATGTCCAAAATTCCATTATAAGCCAAATATCATAATAAAATAATTGGTTCCAACGTTTTTCACTATTTCATTAAAAAGTGTGGTTGAGTGGCTGGTAGGTGATCTGCAAGATGTCTGAGTGCAAAGTGCTAATTTTTATAGATATTGTGGTTGTTTTCCAAAAAAGGTTGTAACCAATTTACTTTTATCAGTAGTGAATCTCCATTTCTTTACATATGTACATTACTTATTTTTTGAGTAGGAATCTTACCCTATCACCCAGACTGGAGGGCAGTGGCACGCTCCTGGCTACCACAGCCTCAACCTGCTTGGTTCAGGCAATCCTTCCACCTCATTCTTCTAAGTAGCTGGAACTACAGAAACATGCCACCACACTGGCTAATTTTTTGATTTATTATAGAGATAAGGGTCCCACCAAGTTGCCCAGGTTGATCTCTAACCCGTGGGATTAAAGGCATGAACCACTGTGCCCGACCTACATGTGTACATTACTTATTATTACCAAAAGTTTTCATTTTTTTTTAAACCAATATAGAGTCATCTTGTCTCACTATTTTGCACAGTCCTCATTACTACTGAAATTATCATATTTATATAATTGTTTACTCTTCTCTAAATTGCTTTTCTACACATTAAGCTTTATACTAGGTTCCTAATTATATATATGAGGTTTTTAATTTGTAGCTTTTTTTTTTTAGTCAGGGTCTCACCTGTCATCTAGGCTGGAGGGCAGTGGCACAATCATGGCTTACTGCAGTCTCAGCCTCAACCTTCTGGGGGCAGGCAATCCTTCCACCTGAGTATGACTAAGTAATTACTGATCTGTTTCTACCACTATAGATTACATTTTCTAAAATTTAATGTAAATAAAATCATACAATGGATGTCCCAAAATGCATATTATGCATCAAACCAAAAATAGCTTTATTGAAATATAATTGACATATAACAAAATACACACATTTAAAGTGCATAATTTTATACCTTTCGACATAAATGAAGGTCCCCAAAAAATGTATACACATTTTAAGTACAATGTTCACTCAAAAGAAGGTGTTAATCAAATGAATGCTAGTGTTACCATGCAACGGGCAGGACAATCCAACAAAATGGTGGAAGCATGGTTGTGCAAATGTCATACTACACATTGCTACTGTAATTTAATTCAACTTCAAAAAGTAATACATAGATAACATCTCTTAAAATATAGCACATAGACTCAAAGTTAAAAGATGGAGAATGAGTTTCCAGGCAAATGGATCACAAAATAAAGCAGGAGTTGTGATCTTAATATCAGACAAAACAACCTTTAAAAATCAAAAATTTAAAAAGATACAAAAGGACACTACATAATGATAAAAGGTTTAATCCATCAACAAGAAATATCCATCCTAAACATATATGCACCCAACACAGGAACACCAGCATTTATAAAGCAACTACTAAGTAAACTAAAATAAGATAATGTCTCTAACACTACTATAGGAGGGGACTTGACTATCCCACTAACAGCCCTAGATAAATCAACGAGGCAAAAAAATCAACAAGGAGGTTTAGAACCTCAACTTGACACTCGACCAAATGGACTTAATAGATACCTACAGATTATTACACCCAACAACCACAGAATATACATTTTACTCATCACCACAGGAACGTACACCAAGATCCATCACATCCTTGGCCATAAATCAAGCATAAACAAATTCCATAAGGTTGAAATTTTGCCATGCATGCTCTCAGACCACAGTGGAATAAAAATAAATATCAACACCACCAACATTACTCCAAAGCCCACAAAGTCATGGACACTAAATAGCATGATGCTGAACAACTACTGGGTCAACACAAAGCAGAATTAAAAGATTCCTAGAAACAAATGAAAATGAAGAAACATCTTACCAAAACCTCTGGGATGCCATAAAAGCAGTTCTAAGGGGGGAATTTATATCTCTACAAGTACACATCAAGAAAATGGAAAGATCACAAGTGGAGAGCCTAACAAATCATCTAAGGGAGCTGGAAAGAGAAGACCACGAAAATCCCAACTTTAACAGAAGAATCCAAATCATAAAAATAAGAGCCCAAATACGGGACATAGAAGGCAACAGTATCATAGAAAACATCAACAAAACAAAAAGCTGGTTCTTTGAAAGAATTAACAAGATTGATGGACCCTTAACCAGAATGACCAAGAAAAGGAGAGAAAAAGCTCAAACACAATCAGAAATACAAAAGATCAAACCACAACCAACGCCAAAGAAATAAAAAAGATTATCAGAGATTACTATGCACACCTATATAGAAACAAACTTGATAACCTAAATGAAATGGAGGACTTTCTGACATCACACAACCTCCCCAGGTAGAAACAAGAAGACATTGAGACTCTTATTAGATCAATAACAACCCAGGAAATTGACTCTGTCACATGAAAATTACCTACAAAAAAAAAAGTCCTGGACTGGATGGCTTTCCAGCAGAATTTTTTTATTTTTTTGAGTTGGAGTCTCACTCGGTCGCCCAGACTGGAGTGCAGTGGCTGCTCCCGGCCACCGCAGCCTCGCCTGCTGGGTTCCGGTGATCCTTCCGCCTCAGCCTTCCGAGTAGCCGGAATTACAGGCATGCACTACCACGCCCAGCTGATTTTTTGATTTATTGTAGAGATGAGGTCTTGTTGCCCAGGCGGGTCTCGAACCCGCGGGCTCAGGCAATCTACTCATCTCAGCCTCCCAAAGGTGTGGGATTATAGGCTGAGCCACCGAGCCCAGCAAAATTTTACTAGACATACAAAGAGGATACCAACCCTTTTGAAAGTATTCCAGGCAATTGAAAAAGATGGAATATTCCCAAAATAATTTTACGAAGCTAACATCACACTGATACCTAAACCGGGTCAAGATTAAACAAAAAAAGAGCTACAGGACAATATCCCTTACGAACATAGATGCAAAAATTCTCAACAAGATTCTAGCAAATCGGATCCAAAATCACATCACAAAAATCATCCACCATGACCAAGTAGGCTTCATACCCAGGATGCAGGGCTGGTTCAACATTCGCAAGACCACAAATGTAATTAAATATAACAACAGAGATGTAAAAACAAGAACCACATGATTATCTCATTAGATGCAGAAAAAGCTTTTGATAAAATCCAGCAACCTTCTTGATAGAAATCCCCAAACACCTAGTATAGAAGGTACATACCTCAAAATAGTAAATGCCATCTACGATAAACTCACAGTTAACATTGCTAAATGAATAGAAACTGGAAACATTTCCCCTAAAAACTGGAACAAGACAAGGCTGCCCACTCTCAGCCCTCTTGTTCAACATTGTGTTGGAAG